GCCCCGTCCGAGCCCCGCGCCACCAGACCGGGCGGCTCCGTGGCCGGTCGTAGCGCGGGGCGCGACGACGGGCCTGCGCTGTCTCCCTTTCAGCTGGAAGGAGGCGGGGGGCCTCTCCCTGCGGCGGGCAGCGGGGGCGCCTGTGTCCCGCGAAGAGCAGCCCCGGCGGGTGGCGTCCCTCGGGGGTCCCTGGCCGAGGGGTGGGCGGGAAAGTGCTGGTTGTGCCCCCTCAGGGTGGGATAACAGCTGCACCCACGGCGGTGCCGCGTGGGAAGTGCACGGAAAACGCGTTTCAAGTGCCTGAAGGCGACCCAGGAGATAAATAATTTCAGTGGCACAGTAGCATCTCTGAGACGGTGCATGCATCAGGAGAATACGATGCTCCCACAATGAGAACAACAAAAAGCACTGTTAAGATTTCAAAAAAGATCTAGAAGCTATTCCTAATAACCGTATTGTATACAGTAGCACTGGTTGTACATCCATTTGAACATGTGTTGCTTTTTTCTTGTAAAACATGACTTGCCCAAAAATCAAGTGTTAGCAAGTCAAGGTGCTCAATCTGAAAGAATTAATAGTGGATGTTTTTTTGCTACAGGAACAAGAAAATTGTTGATTATTCTCAATTTGGGGATTTGGAAGATGATGGTAAGTGGCGTGTTCTTGTATGTAACAAAAATGCCAAACACCAGTGTCACCACCCGAAACATCATCAGAGTGTCTTTAATTAATTAGTTCATTGAGAAGGCTGTCAGCTGTTTTCACTGGAGGTAATCTGGGCAGACTGTTAAATATCCTAATTCAATCAGAGTATGATGGCTGTAAACCAGCGTATGTCAGGAAGCTGGTGGATATGTTGTGTCTTGTTGCAGGAAAATCTGTTTCTCCCCGTGCCTCAGTCTTCAGCGGTACTTGGTTGGTCCATGTCCTCCTGATGATCAGTTCACAGCATTGTAAATCAATATAAAGGAGGTGTGGATCATCTCTACATACATCTGTTTCTCCTACAGCTCTGTATCTGATGGGTTTTGGGTAAAGACACAGCAATCAAATTTTGAGTTCCATTGATAAGAAAAATAGATTGCAGGCTACTTGTTTTCACGACAGCCCTCCTTTACTTCTAAGCCCTAATGGGTGTTATGCTTCTTTTTTACAGAATTTGTTTACTTTCATGTTTGTTTTTTTTTTCCATGCTGTTTGCAGGATACAGGGAACAGTTTGAATTGGTGGGAAGGGTAGCGCAAATGTAAATAATGTTGAAGGTCTTGTGTGAATCATGTGGATTAATGCAGATTCTTAGTTTAAATGTGGTGCATGACCTTAGCTTATAAGTAACAACTTGTAATATGAAAGAAAAGTGTAAATTCTCAGAAACATTAGTGATCTTATCTAAGGTTCTGCATCATTTAAAGAATACTGAAGATTATTATTTTTTTCTTTATTTTGCACTGTGATCTGCAATGTCTTCAGTTGGAAGAAAGACACTTTTCATGCCTTCTAATTTTCTTTGAAAATTGGAGAAATGCATTGTATTTGGTAAGAGGCAATATGAAAATCGTAGAAAAAGGGGAGCAGCCTATGTTTTTTAAGAACGGGAGTCATTAAGGGGAACAATTCCCAAAACACCAAGAACTCAAAACTGTTTAATGACAGCGATTACTATTATAATTGATTGCTGTTCAGCATATGAAAAGGTGAACTTCTAGTTATTGAAAATCTGGTAACACATTGGACATTGAAGCTTTATTGCCTTATTGGTAATAAAAATTGAAATCATTACCTCTTGAATAAAAGCATATGCAAAAGGGGTCTTGTTAAAATTTCATTTAAAATATATTTAAGAATAGTATAGTTATAGTTGTCATGTTCTTTAAAAATAGAATTCATTTCAGAAGGGTTATCTTTGGTATATTTTCAGTGTGTGATGAGATTGAGTTGAATGACTTCTTTTGGCCATACGGAAGAATATAGGAAAACTCATTAAAGCTCGTTGCTGTTTCCCAAACAGATGAAGACTTTGCGTGTATAGCTGCACCTTCAAGGAAAAAATCCAGAACACAGCTCAAAGAACCAAAGAAGGAGAAAAAAGAGAAGCAAAAAAAGCCACACAAAGAACCGACTCCATCACAAAAGCAGACACCTAGTAAAAGGTAAGAAATGCTGAAATGTGGTCAGCTCTGTGTAAAGCTGGGTTTCAGTAACGGTATTTGTTTTTTCTTTTTTTTCCCCTCAAGCTTTAAGCAGCCGAGAATAAACAACTAACATATTAGTGTGATGAAGATTTTCAGCTTTATTGGTATAGTTGCAAATCAGGGACAATGTGATTATGCATAGAGTCAGGAAGACTCACCTGGGTTCGGTAGTGAGCTATGTTGATTTTGTTACAGCTCTAAAAAACTCCAGCAAGCGGCCTGCATAGGTGCAGAAACAAGCCTGCATGTCTGATCTTGTCTTGGTATCTCTTCAGTGCAAAATAACTGTAACAATTCTGAGTTACTGAGGACTCCTAGAACTGAGAAATACAAAGACAAGTTTGACTCCTTAAAAAAGAACATATTGAAAGCTTGATATAAAATACAAAGACAATGTCAATGAAAAAAGAAATCTGATTATTTTGGTGGTAAAGTTGTGTATGAATATTACATTTCAGTGCGGTATTTCAAATAAATGTAATCACCTTTTTCTGTGATAATACCAGTTATTGATATATATACACAAACACAATGTTTTGCAGTCATAGTACTTTTAGGTGTAGTGTCCTTTAAATATTAGTGTGTACTTTGTCTAAATCTTTTCAGGAAGTAATATTCATAATATGATATGCTGTAAGTATATATTGAAATATTAATCTCTTTACAAGCATTTGAATTTTTAAAACTTTAGTGAGTCAGAAGGAGATCTATAACACTCATGTCATCGTTTTATTATTTAGCATATTTGTTTTTTTCTTTTCCAGGATATCCTTGGATGACAAACTTTATCAAAGAGATTTGGAAGTTGCCTTAGCCTTATCCATCAAAGAAAAGTCTGCAAATACCCTTGAAGTGCAAAATTCAGAAGAACAAGGTTATTTTACAGTTCAATGCAACACTTTATTTATATGTAGTGAATTTGAACATGACTTAATTTATTTTATAGTGAAATAGGTTGAAAGTCATGTTTTATTTCAAGATGTCATGATAAGGAAATGAGAATTTCTAGGTAGTGCCTGTCTTCTTATGTTCTTGGGTTTTCTTCCTATGAGAAAAATAACTCTTCTATAAGATCTTCCAAACATATAGTTTGATTAGAGACAGATAAAAATGTTAGCTATTTTCATTTCTTGATATCTTGACGTTTTATAATGTGTTTATTTTATACTAATATTTTATATTATTTTTTATTTGTTTGTTTTCTGGATCCTAAAACAGGTAAGAATATTGAATCAGAAAATGTACCCAGGAGACCCCTTTTTTCCAACTGCAGTGTAGACAGTGAACTTTTAGGTAAGTTGTTCTCATACTCTGTCTTTTCAGAAATAACATTTCAAGATACATTTAGGTAGCTTATCTCTTCCTGGTTTCCATTGGTTTCTGTTTTTCATTTACATGGAAAAAAGAGTCTTTATCTTAAGTAAAGTATGAAGGATGCATTAATTTTTTCATTAAAAATTTGATCCCAGTCTTAAAATGGGAAAACCTGTAGACTGCTGAAGGAGATTGTTACAGATCACTAAAAGTTAGTTGGAAAAAGCAACAGACGTGATGTTTTTAGATGCTGAGTTTATGTACTTCTTCAAGAAGCTACACTTACCCTCAACTCCTTAATGGGTCCATAATGCCTAAGCATCAAATAAACGTGGCCAAAACATTTGCTATGCCATTGGAAACTTTTTCATTTTTCCAGTTTTATTTTTGGTCTTCTGTCCTTTCATTAGTTTGATTACAGATAAGTATTGATAACTTTAACAACCAGAAAGTACAGTTTGGTTAGGTAAAAGAGGAAGAATTTGAGAATCCCGTGAAAACAAGTGCCGATGATATGCTTCTGTATAGTATGCTTCAAAATTACAAAAATTAATTCTGGGAACTCAAATACCTGCTGCTTTTTGAGAAGGAGAATAGATTTACTGTGAATTTGAATTAATTAGACCACCTTCTGTTTTCTAGGTCTCAATCAGGTTATGGATGATGACGTACCTAGGGGTGACTGTAGGCAAAGGACAGCAGCATCTAAAGTTCCAGCACATCAGAAGAAATTACTGACCGTTGACAGTGATGACGGAAAGCATTCTACTGACTCTGAGCCAGAGTCTGTACCCAGTAAGTTCTTTTCTATAAAAACCCTCTCCTTAGGTGTGCTTTGGATGGGATGCCTCACATTTAGTTTATATTTTCCGTGAAATGCATACTGCTTCTACTGTATCTTCCCTACCCCCCCTTACTGAAGCATTGTCTTTTAATACTAGTAGCATCTCAGTTGCACTTTGAAACTAAATCTAAACATTGGAGCTTATTCATACACAGTCCCCAAACTGGCAAAAAAGATACTTTTTCTCTGCATTTGCTGCAGTATGTCAGAACAAATTTATTGTACCCTCTCTGTCCGGGAAAGTTTCGTCTCTTTAAAGAGCCTCTGTTCTTTTTTCCAGTTGCTGTCTGGGGTTTGCATCAAAACAGCGACTCTGGAGTAGTGTCAGGTGTTGGTGCTTTCAGTATTGGCTTCTGGTAGCAGCCTAGTATTGAACGCCTGCAGAGTATGATAGACCTCTCTCTCTCATTCCCCAGTGGTTAACGTGTCTGTATCCATTCTTTTATTCCTTACTGCAAGGTTTATTGGAAAATATTTCTAGAATTGTCAGTGAAATAAAATGTCAGGGGAATAATTCAGATATTCCTGTTGACACAGAGCTATTTTTTAAGATTTGCTAATGTCTGGGGTTTTTTAATAATAAATCTATAAATCTTTCTTACAGCTGAACTTAGACATAGTGTTTTCCCACTTTAAATAGTCATGACTAAGAATAGGTAAAAATCAGAAGCCCTGCCAGACAACTTCAACTTTTTCCATCTTGCTGCGCACATGGAATATTGGTAATTCTGCTGTTAAAATCATTATTGTGTGCAGTTTATACCAGGGTGTTCCATTATTAAAGTACAGAGCAAGAATTCTGTAAATACAGAATGTTTTATGGAGGCTCTTTCTTTCTCAGTTCAGCATATAAATACGTGTGGATTTGTTTTACTCTGTCATGGTTCTTTATGTCCAGAATGTGATTAGAAGGCCCTGGAGTAATAGTAAATTTTATTTCCCGTAAAGAGATGACATCCCTTTTCCTTGCTGTAGGTGAGGAGTCAGAAGAAGATTCCGATTATAGCGAAGGTGATGATGAAGACTTTGCTATGGAAAAGAAGAAAGCCAAAGGAAATAAAAAGAAAACGAAACAAAAGATGCCAGCTGAAAGAGAGAAGAAAACTCTCAAATCCAAGATGAATACTACTGGTAAGTTTGCACTCTGAATTTGAAGAAGACTTCTTCATAATACAAGTTCCTTTTATTTTCACTGAAGGAATAGATAAATTTGGCTGACAGACTGACTGCAGGTTTATGATGAAAGTGACTATATGCAGAGTAAAGGGAGGAGAGTAGAAAAAAATCCTGAAAGAAAAAACGCTCTATAGTAAACTAACACTCCTTACAATAAAAGCAGACAAAAATGAATCGACAAAGTTAATTTCTTCTTATATAACTATATCTAGCTTTTAAGAAAAGGTTAAATAACAGTGAGTGATCTGAGGATTTTTTTTTTTAAATTATAACCTCAGAGCCTCTTCTTTCAGTTGCATTTAGGATTTTTTAATTCAAGGATAGCTAAACAATGCTAGTTCTACTAACCACTTGGCGAAAAACATTAAATATGCATGCCCTTCATAGTTAATTGTTCACTGTGTTGCTAACACAATTTACTTTAAATAGCTTAAGAAAATTCTTATCATGGTGTTAATCTTGTGTCTGACTTGGTAATGTGTGTTAATTTCAGGCCTGAATTTACAACATGTAATTTCGTAATTAGTTTAAAATTAGTTTTAGTTATGACAAGGAATGGTTTGCTTTGTGTAGCTGACAGAAGAATCTTCCCTCTTAGAAATTTGATATCTGGCAGGTCCTCAACAAGAAATTATTACACTGCTTATTTTCAAACCAGGATTGAAATTCTAGAGTATAGCAGGACTAACTGTAAATATATACTGTTAAAGATGTGACAATCTAGTAATATACTCTTTATTTCACTCAATGTAGAGAGCTTGTGCTGTACAGTGATCTATCATCTTATGCAGTCTGATGATTTCTCTGCTAAAGATTATGTTTCTAAGGTCACTTTTCTTTTCCAACTAAGTGTCACCTGTAGTTTCTCCTTCACGGATAACAGAAGAAAAATCTGAGCCAACACAAAAGATGATGTCCAGTTCTTCAGAACCAGTTGGGAGGCCTTTACATACATCGAGTCCTGTAACAGACAAGAAGCCTAAATGGATACCACCAGGTACCTGTAAGATTGTACTATAAACAGATAAATTAGTTGACTTAAGTTCTTAGCAATCTCTCCTAAAAGCAAGCAAACAAATAAACAGTATTTCAGAAAAATTACCGCCCTCTTATAATGAAAGGTATTCTTTTGACCTTAGATTTAAAAAAGAAAGAAAAGCTAGCTCTGTGCTTCTTTTCCTCTTACAGCATTATCCTTAACTCCTTTATGTGGGGAGGATAATAAAATATTTTCCAGAGTGTGTATCAAATCTTAATCAAGAGATTGTTATGTGGCCATTTCTTTCTTATTAAGAGCTTGCTTTATCTCTGGTATGTGCTGCATTATTATCTATTCTAAACAAATAATATTAGAAAAATGTTGGGAGTGTTTTAGCTGCTCTAGTAAAGCAAATGCTTAGAAACTTTGTTTTCTTAAGGTGCTTGAGCATGCTGCTGCTGATTCCTGCCTCTTTCTTCGATTTTCCGTCATATTTACTCTTCTTTTCTGTACATGTTTCTTTCTATTTGGCTCCTTTCTCTCAAGCCTCCTTTTACCACTTGGAATTGTGTTCAATTGTGTGATTCTCTATGGAGCACCTGAAAATGCACAGTACACTGGGAACAGTTTTTATGTGCTTGTCCAGTGTTGCTCCAGTGTGTTGCTGGTTAATTAAAACTGTGCACCACACCTGCTGCACTGGCTCCCAAATAGATGGATTTCTGGTGAGTATGCTGATTTTCATGTGCTTCTGTGGTATGTTGATCAGACCTTTTTGCAATATCTCTAGAATACTTTTTCTGCTCTGCTGTGAAAACTATAAAAAGACAACAGTCATATGTGTTTTTTTTTTTCCCTCTAAACTTCTTACACTTTGTTTTAAAATTATTTTCAGCTGCATCAGGAAGCAGTAATAACTGCATGAAATATGTTGCAGTTAAGTCACCTACTCAGTGTCTTAGGCTCGGCCTCTCCAGACTAGCAAGAGTCAAACCACTGCATCCCAGTGCTACCAGCGGTTAAGTGGTCAGTGACAAGGTGCCACGTGAAGGCAAAGACTTTGGAAAGTGTTTTGCTTATAAATAGAAGGTGGGCAGCATAAGTTTCATGGCATCGTCCATTTTGGAGGACTGTTGTTGATGTACATGTCTAATCCTATAACGAGTTTTTATTCTGCAAAATGCTAGGCATCCTTAAGTGCTACTGAATAATAATATTATTTAATCAAGGTGATATCTGGATCACCAGCTTTTTGGTGTATTATACTCAGATGTGGGTTTGTGATAATTCAAATTCTCTGATATCTAAACTCTTGGCATTAAAATAGGCTAGACAGCACTATGTCAGTTATAGAATTTGATATCTCAAATGGATTCTTAACACAAGTGAAAGTCACAGTTTAAAAAATATTTCTTGGAAGAGTGAAGTTATCGCTTTCCACCCCCTTCTTGGAAAGTTTGCCACCACTCTCAAAATCTGGTAATGTTTGCATATCTTATATGTGGATTTTAATGGATTTTTATGTATTATAGATATAATGTTTTTTAGAATGTTGTATTTTTTTAAAAAATGAAATAAAATACTTTATATAGTCTAATTAGTCATATTAATTGACTTCATTAATTTTGAAAATCAGTTTAAATTTTGGCTACAGTCTGGCAAATATTTTTGCATGTGCATACTCTTATTGGAAGTCAGCAGCATTAGCCAGGCTCAGATGGTGAGGATTTTGCTTTGAGCTCCTTGGGTTTTGTTGAAGACCGTGGTACCATGCATAGTTAGTGGATTTTGTAAAGTGCTGAAGTGATAGTTACTGAATAATGAGACTGAGCTTTCAAACTTATTAGTCCACAAAGTAAATAATTTCCTGTCTAAGCATGTTGACTATGCCAGATGACACAGCAGATGCATTTCTGCCTGTATTACTTAAGGGATCTGGTCATGAATGAGTGAATTGCATTAACAAAGGTATATATAGGCCTATTCAGAACAATTACACAGACAAAAGCCTAAAGTAAAACTAGGGTATGGCAAATTACTTTTTAACTGTATAGTACTTGCATTATTAAAACAAGATACTAATAAATGCATATTTATTAAAAACAACATGCATATTGCCTTCTGGAAGGAATGAGAAGAAATCTGCGGATGAAAGCGTTTCTCAGAAACAAGTAAATGTGGGCATTGCGACGTATAATCTCGCATCATCCACATTTTGGATGCCTGACTCCTGGCATGGAATCACACAGCCCTGAGTGAAGTGTGGTCCAGTGAACTGGGCTAAGTGAGTTTAGGACGGGAGGCACGTGCCTGCTGTCTCCAGTGCTTGTCCTACTCGTTTGTGAGTTGTCTTATCTTGCTAAAATGGCACATCAAAAAAGCAGAAGTTTGCAGCAGGTTGTCATTGATGAGCATGAAACTGCTTCCAAACAATTGTGAATCAGGAGTACCCGCAGGAGGAAAGGTAGGTATCCAAGAGTAATGCTTGTGACACCTAGTATGTAATAGGTATGTTATGTTATTCCTCTCCTTGATTCCCTTTCTTTGTGCTTACTTAGGTAGCCCCTTTCTGAGGTGTACAGTGGATAAACGGCTGCAGCAAAGCGGGGCGCACAGAGAGCCTCGGGGCCCCAGGGTGGTTCGTTGCAGCATCCCAATCCATTGCCCCTGGGTCGTGCTTCAGTCCTTTTCTTTCCACTGGGAGTGGTCACGCAAATGAACAGCTGTGTGGTCCCTCACTGCATTGCAGTCACCAGGTCTCTTTCTATTGAAATTAAACTGTCACGAATTGTTTTGCTTTTATGGGTTTTTTTCAGGGATAAATACGGATTTCATGTAGTTGTGCGTTTTCTTGCTACAGGGAAATTTATGTAACAATGCAGAGTACTTTCTCAACGTGGTGCTTCAGGAAAATCTACACCTGTTGGGTTTAGTAACCCACTTTTCCCCCCCCTCTCATACCATTTTTTTTTTTTTCTCCACAAAACATACATTTGAGATTTGCGTTCCTCCGGTTTCAATATTGACATCTTTCAAAAATTATATAATTTGCAGTCTGCCACCTGTCCTTGAGCCCCTCCTTAAGTTTGTATGGGTTTGCAGTTCATGAGGATTTTCCAGTATTTCTCTACTTTTTTTTTTTTGCTGAGTGACAGTTCCACATAGGAAATTGAAAAAAGGTCTTTGAAAGGGAAGTAGCCAATGTTCTTGATTATATGTTTCAAAGCTACTCTATGCCTGATCTGAAGGAAACAGGTATTGCTGGTAGGTAGAGATTATTTTTATAAAAGATGACTTGTTACAGTAATTATTTTTTCTGTTAGTAACAGAGAGGTTGTCTGTGTTATTCCAGCTGCTTTCAACCTTGGAAAATGATTTTTTTTTTTCTGAAAATAACATTTACAGTTACCTCATTGCTCCAAATTTTAAACAACACTGCATAGAATTGTCTGTGCATCATTTCTCATTTCACCATTGCACGATGGTATGACATGAAATGCATTTTGATTTCAATCTGTAAAGCAATCAGACAGTGTGTTGGTTTGCGTGTCAGAGTTTACAGTTTTCACGTACTTGCTGTTTTAGAACTGCATCTGTATTAGTAAAAAAGTAAGAACAAGTTTGTTAAAGAAGAGATCACTGTTTGTAGATGTAAACTTCGCTGGCAGCACCCTCAAAGTCACGACTGTGAGCAGATACCCTGTCTGATCTAGAGATCACCTCTTGCTTCAGAACAGCAGAGGGTTTTGCCAGCGTCGATTGCGACTCCAGATATTCCTAGAGATGGAATCAACTGCACGGTCATTGAAAGCTGCCTTTGCACGGCTGTGTGAGCAGCTCATTTGCTGTGCCCACGGGCACACAGGTTGGTCACACAGAACAGGGCTGTATCACAAAACACCCCGCAGAATTCCGCCAGCCTGAAGACACTGCGCTCCAAGACTGATACAAAGGCTTGGTCTGAGACAAGCTTAAAAAAACCTGGTTGAAAATGGCTAAAATTCAGGGACACAGCAGCGTGAAATTGCTTTCATAAAGCAGATTTGTGTACCTCCAGACATTCGATGTCATCAATGCATTTCTCGCTTCCTACTGTCTTTGGGAGTACGGATAATGCCACAAAAAGAGAGGAGGAAGTCACCAGACAGACCAGACCAGCAGAAACCTACAGAACAAAAGTTAAAGTACGGCGGATTGGTGGGATAAATCTGTGTGCTTGGGGACACCTACGGCACCTCGTCACTCTCGGTGCCACAGAGACTTTGTTTAGACAATAGCGACTGGGCATTTCATGGAAGACCTGTCTCTGCACTGAGATCCGGGAATGACAGCTTGGCAATTAACGTTGATGCTTTGCCACAGCAACTCTTAAGAACTGCCGGTTTAGCAGTACCTTTTAATGCGTTAAGGTTTAGATTTTGGATTTGATATTCCGAATAATAAATGCAGAGCCTTATTTAAAGGAGACTGTTCAAATAGGATATAAAGCAAGAGCAGGGTTCGCTCTTCCTGATTTTTTTGGACACAGGGTTTCAGAAGATGCTGAACACACCTGCAGCAGACGTGTATTTGGAACCTCCAGCATCAGAATGAATAGAATAGAACAGAACCAAATAGAACATTTCAGTTGGACCACAACAAACATTAGGAAAAATATAAATTAAACAAAGTTATTGTATACAATTATAATTGAGGGAGTTGGGGATAGATAAATAATTGGTTGCTGAGTTGTAAATTAGTGGAATAGATTTTATAATGTATGAGTAATCTTTGTGATAAAAGCTGGTGTTTAGTGTTTGAGGTGCTTATTATAAAATATTTATCTACTTACTCGTAAGTTCTTGAAAATAATTTGTTTAGGCTTTGTTTCTATGCTCAGACTCAGCCCTGCACTGAATTTCAGCAAAAGATACCCAAGAACTTGTAACAGAAACTAGCTGTAAAGTTTCCTTTCCTGGAGTTTAGACAAAGTAAGCGTGGAAGGAATTCTGAGCAGTTCATATCCCCAGCATGGAGGCAGGATCCATTAATCCTGCCCTGACTGAGGCTTGTCTAAATCTTCTCTGAGAGTGCGGGCAGTCCCCAGCTTTCTCAGGTGATCTGTCCCAGAGCTTGAGTCTAGCAGAGCACGCTGTTAGAAAGCTTTTCAGTAGTGGTAATGGGATGAGATCTCTGAGTTTTTCATGTAGTCTGTAGGCTTGTTACACTCTTCTGCATCCCCAGGTGTAAGCTGATCTTTTCAGACTTGTTAGAGCTGGAGTCTAATCAAAGTCTAATGCTGGCATGTCACGTTGTTTGAATCTCTATGCAGTGTAATTCTTCCTCTTCCTCCAAATGTTAGCAAACTCATGGATATTGTCTTAGTACAGTTTTATCAACCTGAGTTTTTTCTTTGTGTTTCTCTGCCTTGTCCTCATGTTTCTGGGAACACATCTGGGAAGCAGCAAGTGAGAAGATCAAAATCTTGCAGCTGAGAAATTAATGCAAATTAACTGACCAGCAATTCTTAGTGAGCAATAACTTCCGTTCTTTAGCATTATCTTGTAGAAAATGGTATGTGCAAAGGGTGATACATGTCATATCTCTGTAAAATATGAAAAATCATTAGCTACCACTAAATTTGTAGTCAAATACTCATGCTGCTACCATCATCCTTAATCCATGCCTTTGCAAAGCATTCCATTAATCGCTTCACTGATTTTTTGCTTGCAGATTGGCTATTTTCTCTTGATGTATTATCAATCATGTTAACCATCATAAGACCACTATTTCAACTTTCATTATTTCTGAAAAAAATCAAACTTACTTTTGATTCAGAAGCTTTCAGCTTGTGAGTAATTCATTATATGATTCAAAAGGTCCGAAACCCAGCCCTCATTTTCCTGGGCTGTACTGGTTATTCTTAGATATTCTGTTAGTGTGAAATTCTGTGTCTTTGGTGTAGCTGAATAATGAAGGTGTAACTTAATGCTTATGGCATTAATGCCATGGAATTTAATAAGGGAAACAAACCTTTTCCCATT